CATCGATTATGTTTTACAGATAAAATCTCCGTAGAACGACATTAGACGTGTTATTAGGCTGCCACAACACGTCAAAACAGCTACTGTCGGGTTAAAAATGGATTTCTGCGAAAACTTAATGTAAATAATATTTGTTTTAAAACAGATTAATTATACTTTAAATCAACTTATATTCTTTAAATAAGTTTTAAAAAAGTACATTTTATTTTTGAAGATTTTTTAATAAAGAGAAAAGTGGTGCTAATCAGCTATTTTAGCAAAAAACACTCCTAGTTAATTTGAATTAGTTTTAAATTAATTTTTGAAATACTGCAAAGTATTTTGCTTATTTAAATATTAAATTTAATCCATTAGCTTGAAATTAAAACTAAAATAAAAGCTTTAAGAAAGATTTTTCATTTTTTAAAAATTATTTTAAACCTTTGGTATATTTTTGTGTTTTGTTTTTGTTCTTTGAGTTACTTAGTCTTCCTCTTTGACAATGAATGTTGGACAATCTCCTTACAGATGAAGAACAGACTCAAGGCACAGAGATGTGGTTATATAAAAAGATGCTGAAAATACCATTGGATGGAATATTTGAGCAACGAAGATGATTTAAGGAAAATGGAAACAAAAAGGACTCTATATAACAGAGAATGCTGGACAACTTGCTCAGATGAAAAGAAAACTTAAAGCAACAGAAATATGGATTTACAAAAGAATGCCGAGAATACAATGGACGGATTATGTAAACAACAACGACAACGGACAAGACACTAATACTCAGAAAGAAAGAGTTGAAATTTCAATGAAATGAGGAAAGAGGGCTTAGAGAATTTGACACGCACAGGACACATTAAAGCAAAGAGGGACAGGAGAAAAAAAGGGAGCAAACTACCTAAAAAGCTTGAGTAAATGCTTGTCACAACAGGTAGGAGGGGTGATTATAAAAACGCAAAACGTTATTAAGAGGAAGTTGTGGAGAGCAATAATCATCCATATCCTGAAGGGACACGGCACATAGAAGAAGAAGCATAATTAGAAATTATTTGTTATTTTATTATTATTTTATATTTTCTCATAAACACTTTATTTGCCTATGCCTCTTCTATAAAATGCGAATGTCAGTGTGTCACATTTTTTTAACTTTACTTCCAAAGGCCGTAGCCCAACATGTCATACCATTTTCAAATCAGACCGACTCCGTGTGTAAATTAAAAACATTTCGGACTGGATCCGTTCCCGCAATCCTGAAATTTTGGATTCCTAAGCTTTCATTACTGTGATTGTTTTCGCATTCTGCTATCTTGGCTTCTACTGATAAAACAATTAAAGGGACACAACTCTCTAACTTTCAATAGATCATGTTTAAATGATAAAATTACTGTTCTCAAATTACAGTGTTTCAACATAAATTTGTCCGTGTTATCACCTTTACTCCTAAACGCCGTAGCCCAACATATATCAATACTGAGCTTATTTTCGGCAACGTTTACGTGCTTTTTTTGCGACGAATACGATAACAGTTTTTATAAATTTGGGAATAATCGAAATTAATTGCGAAATCCAGCGAAAGTCATCTATGAAATAAAAATAATTGTTTATATGGGAAGTAAGGACCTATGTACATCAAATTATCTTTAAATTAAGTCGTAGACGGGAAGAATTATCGTTGAACTTTTAAGAGGTAAGCTTAATGCAATACTTAAATGCAGCGATCAATTTTGAGTTCTTCTGTAGTTTGTTGTCTATAGCATCTACTTTTCCCTACCTATTGTGATGAAGGCCCAATCAGGAGCCCTCCGCACGAGCTTGCTTGTAAACTAGTTATGTGGTCTCTCTTGTCACGAATGATAAATGAATGCTCAATAAAATAAAGAGGTGCTCAATTTCTATGGGCACGCATGTGTCTCCCGAGGCTTGCTGGTATTTTGCAAACTTTTACACAGATAGAATATGTTGAGCCATTTTGCTTTGGTGGTTGAGGATCAACTGCCACCTGTTTCAGCGAGTGGAATGCAAAGCTCACTGCGTGCGACAAAATCTGCAGTGGTAGGTAAGGCTATCAACGAGAGGAGAAGCATGTTTCCAACTTGCTTTAATATTTGATCCCGCAGTTGAACCCGGTGTTCAAGTCGGCCTCTCTCAGACCTTCGTACAGATGAGAAACAGGACAGGCGCCCAGCTCCTTCGAACTGATACTTTGTTATCCTTGAAAGAAAAACGGGTTGCTGCATCGCTTCAGATTGTCTTTGAGTTTGTCTTTGTAACGCAAGATCGGCCTTCCAATTGACCTGCTTGTTTGGAAGTCTGCTATCGCTCATACGAGATCTGAGTTGCATTTTCATTAGGATGGCTTCAATACTTGATGAATATATATATATATATATATATATATATATATATATATATATATATATATATATATATATATATATATATATATATATATATATATATATATATATAATTATTTATTCGAAAATTATAACATAAATATGTTATAAAAACACTCAAAAAATAGCCATTTTGTTTCAACATTTCTGGTGTCTTATCAAGTGATGGTGTTGAATCTTGCTCTACTCTGTATTGAGCACTCTTTTAAGAATAGTATTTGTTGGTTATTGAATTTATACAATTCTATATTGGATATATATATATATATATATATATATATATATATATATATATATATATATATATATATATATATATATATATATATTTAAAATATTAAAAATATATAAATAAACATATAAATATGTTTAAGACACCAGAGGTGTGGAAACAAAATGGCTATTTTTGTAGTGATTTTATAGCATATTTATGTTATAATTTTTAAATAAATAATTATATTCGCTCTACTCTGTATTGAGCACTCTTTTAAATATAGTAATTGTTGGTTATTGGAATTTATTCCGTATACACCAATCATATACTTGTGTGTGTATATATATATTTTTTTTTTTTTCCTGAATTTATCTTACACGTCTATAAGTCTACTATTAACCCGTGCTTAGAATATTGCTGTCACCTTGAGCTTCTTGATAAACTCCAAAGAAGAATCAGCAATATTATCTGTCCTTATCTTGGTGGTGGTGGTGGGGGGGTGTCTACACCATTCACTTTCCCACTGTCGTAAAGTTACCTCTCTGTGTCTTTGTTAGAAATACTTTCTTGGTAATTGTTTGGATGAGCTCTTTGCTATGGTACCTTTTTTTCTTTTTTTAAATTAAGCGTGGTACTAGACTGGCATCGAGATCTCATCAATTTACAGCTGAGCTGGCGAGATGTAACCGTAAATTCTATCCTAACAGTTTATTTTCTTGCACTTCTCGCTTGTGGAACTCCCTTCCGATTCCATGCTTTCTATCCAACTTTAATCTCCAAAAATTTAAATGCAATGTCAATCACTATCTTTCTATCCTGTTGATTACTCTTTTCACTTCCCGCTCATTACTAATGTTTCTGCTCGTAATTCTTCCACAACCAGTAATCCCTTGTGTTTTAGTGGCTTTTCTCTCTTACAAGGGGGGGAAACCGATTAACATATATATATATATATATATATATATATATATATATATATATATATATGTGTGTGTGTGTGTGTGTGTGTGCAAATGTATAGAAAAATAAGAAAGAACACCTTAGGTAAATAATCCGGAGTTCTTTATTTAGTATTTTTTTTTTTACTTTAAAAAACAGTGCTCAATACATAAGTGGAGCTTAAATTATAATTATTTAAAAATATGATTCCAGCGCTACATAAGAGTTCTCATGTTTCAAAAACAAGAGCCAGAAACTTCAATATAATTATTGCCAGAAACTTCAATATAATTATTAAAATCAAATTGAATTAGAGTATCAAGCTCTGTTTCATCCTCAAGCGAAAGTTTTGGAATAACTAATCTTGAAATTTACGCATCTTTATAAGCATATATTCATTATATATATATATATATATATATATATATATATATATATATATATATATATATATATATATATATATATATATAAGGCCCAAAAAGCCTTTTATATTATATTTACTGCAGAAGACTCAGAAAGCAGTGCACATTCTCTACATTTTCGCCTCAGTAAATTACCCCCACTTTTAATTAAAGCAGCATTTTCAAAATCGAAATCAGATTCAACTGTAACACATAAATAACTAATATTTTGAGTGTGTTGTGATGTAAGAGTATTCTTTTTTGTCTTTATATAATCTTTTATTTTAATTCTCCGAAGTCTCTCCAGTGAATTTTTTGTGAGTGTAAGAAAAAAAAAAAAAGAAAAAAAAAAGGAAAGTATGAACGAAGTAAAATCGTCTTAAGGCCCCCGATAAAATCCAGAGACGGATATGCAATGTGATTAGCCCTGATCTGGCATCTCGTCTACAGTCGCTCTCTCACTGACGTGCCATCGCCTCCCTCTGGTTTTTCTACAAATACTTTCACGGTAAATGCCCCGACCAGCCACTTTCGCTAGTTCCCAGACTGCATGAATTTAAACGTGCCACTAGGCTGGCATCTCGGTCACAATCTTTCACTGTCGAAATGGTTAATTGTAGCCGTCTCTTCTACTCCAATAGCTTCATGTCTCGCACCTCCCGTCTGTGGAATTCCCTTTCTATTACTTGTTTTCCCTGATAGCTATAATCTCCAACTATTTAAATGTAATGTCAATTTCCAGATGCCTTGATCTATTTCACGTCCTTCTCTTCATCCTTTCCTCTATCACGCCTCTTTACTCTTGTTCCCTCTCTCTCTGTAACCCCTTTGCGTGCAAATGGCATCCCGCCTTGCTTGAGGTGAAATGCTTAAAAAAAAAAAAAAAAAAAAAAAAATTGGGAATACAAAAGCCGTAATTGGGTGAGATGGCGAAAGAAACGCGGGGAAAAATGGTGAGAGATGAAGAAAAAAAGACAAGAAGACCAGAAGAGAAAGGGAGGGAAAGACGAAGGAAAGGAAGAAATAAAGAAAATATCAGCATGTAAAGAAACAAAGAGAAAACCA